TCCGCGGCATGTGGGATCTTCCCGGACCGGGGCACGAACCCGTGTCCCCTGCATCGGCAGGCGGACTCTCAACCACTGCGCCACCAGGGAAGCCTTAAGTACCATCTTAAAGCAACTTTTATCATAAGTAAAGGTTCACTTTTTTTTTCTTCTCAGTTTTTCTTTTTACCGTGATAAAATACACACACTATAAAATTTGCCCTGTTAACTGTTTTTCAGCGTACAATTCAGTGGTATAAATATATTCAGAACGTGGTGCCGCCGTCACCACCGTCCATGCACAGAAATTTTCCGTCTTCCCGAAAGGAAACCCTGTCCCCGTTAAGCCCTGACTCCCCTCCCCCTCTGGCAGTCCCTGGCGCCCAGCGCTCTGTTTTCTGCCTCTGTGAATCTGGCTCCTCTAAGTACCTTATGTAAGTGGGAAAAGATGAACTTTTAACAACTTTCTGTTATGGAAAAGTTCAAACAGGCACCAGAGCAGAAAGAGGAGTCTAATGAATGGTGGGCAGGAGTGCAGGGAAGGTGGCCCCGCGTGCCCGCCTGAGCCTCGACAATGGTTCCCATTCTGTGGGCCTTATTTTGTCTCCCCTGCTTCCCCGCCCTGCGTTTGGCTGCACAGTCAGTGTCATGTGTAAATATTTCAGGATGCAGCCCACAGATGAGGACTTACTACTTTTTAACATACCCTCTGTGCCCCCTTCACATGTAATTCAGCTCGCAGTAATTCCTCAGCACCCGAGATGGACTCATGGCCACCCAGGGTCAGGGCCAGGCCCCCGCCCTTCCTCCCCCGGGACCTTGCTCCCGCGGGCCGTACCCACAGTGTGAATCTTCCCTTTTCTTCTCAACCCTCAGCCCCACGGCCCTAAGCGGCTTTGCTGATAACAGAATTCAATACCCTTCATACTCTTCATGTCTTAATGGCCTCCCCCGCGGTAAGGATAATATCAGGAAATTGTGGAAACTGTATGATTTCTGAGATTTTTTTTTTAATTGGAGTATAGTTGATTTACAATGTTGTGTCACTGAGATATTTTTTAAAGAAATAGTTATATGTAGAGTGTTACAAAGAAAAACCTGTAATCCTCCTCCAGCTGATGTTAGGAGCCTTAATTTTGTTATAAATCACTGCGATTGTGAGCCCTGCAGTAAGTGTCCCTTCGTGTGTGGTGCTTTCGGATTAATGCTGAATGCTCAGGCCCACAGAGGCTGAGCTGTATTTTGACGGGAATAGAAAGATGGCCAGTGTTCCCATGCTGTACGTTTCTGATGAAAATATTAAGAGCATCTGAAGTCTTTGAATGTAATGTCCAGTCCAGCACTGGAGTAAGACTGTGGGATTGCATCAGGCAGGCGCTCCCTGACCTGAAGGTTGTCTGGGCTCCAGGCGCTCCCTGACCTGAAGGTTGTCTGGGCTCCAGCATCAGGTCCTGATGCTGTTGGTGTCATCTTCCAGGGTGTGGTCCTTCAGCTGTCCCCCAGATTCTGTGTAGAGGGCACAGCTAATCAGAAACCCAGCTGCTTCCCAAGTGCTACTTTACCTCACATTTTTGAAAGTTCAGAACCACACGGAGAAGAATGTCGGCATACGGTATTGAATGAGTGTTGACCAGAGACGTGTCTAACTTTAGGCAACAGGGAAAACCACAAACCTGGCGGAGCGTAAATTTGCATCTTTGTCACCATGGCAAGAAAGCTGCAGGAGCAGGTGTAACTTTCACATAGATTTAAACTGCAAGTTGTTTTGTTATTTTGTGGAAATGTCCTCTGAGGGGAGGAAGCCAGATGTTTTTTGTTGTTTTTTTTTTGCGGTACGCGGGCCTCTCGCTGCTGTGGCCTCTCCCGTTGCGGAGCACAGGCTCCGGATGCGCAGGCTCAGCGGCCATGGCTCACGGGCTCAGTCGCTCCGCGGCACGTGGGATCTTCCCGGACCGGGGCACGAACCCGCGTCCCCTGCATCGGCAGGCGGACTCTCAACCACTGTGCCACCAGGGAAGCCCGGAAGCCAGTTTTAAAGGGGAGTTCATGGTCTCCAAAGACATTTAAAGTAAACTTTTCAGCAAAAAGCCAGTCTTCTATGATGACTTTATTCACAAAACCATCTGCCAGTGTCAGGATGGCAGAAAGACTTCATCTCATGAGCCGAACATTTTTCTGTGGAGCGGAGCCCAAAGCACAGGCTGGGGATGGGGCAGCCAGGCTGAGGCTCACGTAGCCATCCTCAGGGGGGTACCCCGGGGGTGTGGCCACATGGAACCCACCCCTCCCCACCTGAGACCTCAGTTACCCACTGGCCATATCTTTGTGTCTCAGAGCAGTGGGGATCTCAGATAATTGCTAGAAATGATGACAGGGTGCCTTATTATAGAAAAGTTCAAATATTCAGACTTAATATTGCAAAAACCAAAATTCTTTTCAATATGAATTTTGCCGTTTAAGCAAAAACTTTTAAAAATCTTCACCTGTATTTATGTCTAAATAACTTAATATATACATTTTCATCTCTAAACAGGATAAATTTAGATTTTTCCTTCCTAGCATTATGGCAGTATTAAAGGAAGTCAAAAGAAAACCTGCCATTTCTTAAATTGTACCCCAATTTTTATATTTCCATGTTTCCTTCTGTATTTTTTCCTTAAACAGAGTCATAATCAAATAAACATGGTTCATTTCATTAATCTTTTTATATAGCTGAATCATCTATATTGATCATATTTTATATCATGGGTTTGCCATAGTTCAGCTCTTCTCTGTCCATATGGACATTTAGGTTGTGTATATTTTTTCTGTCATCAGAAATGCTATAAGGAACATTTTTATCTTTGTAAAGGACATTTTTCTTTTCTACTTTGGAGTGACTTTTTAGAATATATTCCCAGACATAAAATTGCAAGGCAAAAAATAAAAAAGCAAGACCACTTTTATGGCCCCTGTGAATACTGCCAGATCGCTTTCTTAAGACTCTATAAGCCCACATTGTCACCAGCCCAGGGAGAGGGGAGGGTGACTGTTCTGTGATACACTGGGGTGTTCCCATAATGGCCATCCCTACGTGCCACCGAGGCACATGCTCCTTCCGTGCCATAAATGGACATTTTACTACTGCAAGCCCTTTGAACGTCTTATACGGGGTGACCTGTAGTCTTTTGTTTCATGTTATTGGAACTTAACTGACTGTTCACTTAGCCAGCACTCTTGGGCATCCTTTTGTCTGGGTACTTAGCACTTTGAAAGTTTTGTCAAGCCAGTAGTGGACAAGAAAACTTCATGGTGCTTTACTGCCCAGCTTTGAGCTGTCAGCACTTTGAAAGCTTTTAAAGACTTAACTTAGATATTCTTTTTAATAGAAATATGAACCGCTAGATAAAAACTGAGTAATACACACCCACGTGTCTATAGCACAGTGGGGATTCAGTGGTCTCTTCACCTCTGCTTGCAGGCCGTGGCTGTGTCGGCCTAAACAGTTGAGCCATTTTGAATGGTGTGGTAGAGTGGTTAGTGGTTAGTAGTCACACTGGTGTCTTCCAGGTACTGGAGAAATGCCACTTCTCGTCCGTTCACTGTGTTTCTGTCCCAAACGTAGCCCCGTGAACTGTATTCTTGCTAAAAGTGCAGCCCATGTTTGCCCTGTGGTTTTCCCTTTGCTGCCTTCCGTCCACCTGAATCTTCTTTCTCGTCACCTTTTCTCTTTTATCAGCCCTGCAGAGTTTTACCTTCCTTCACAGGTTTTCTTATGTTTGTGTAGATAAAGGATGGCCAGGCCCTCCTGTTCTCTGATGGTGTCCTGTCCCCCGCTGTGTCCCTTTTGCTCCCTCTGTGTCTTTGGGTGCTGCTTCCTTCTGTATTTTACAAGACGTCTCAGGTCATGTTTCAAAGGACGGGACAGGGTGCTGGTTTGGCGTGGCCCGTCCTTCAGTTTGTCTGCTCTGTTGGGTAGGGTTTGGGGACAGCACAGGACGGGTTGGGGCAAGGAGGCCGTCGCCCAGCTGCCTGGAGCATCGGTCCTCGAGCATTTGCCAAGGGTGACAAAGTCGCTTCTTTGCCCGGGGCGCCACCTCAACACAGCAGGTGTCCCTCGAAGCCTCGAGGTGGCAGGGGAGAGAGGGGAGCATAGAAGCTTCCAGACAGACGCCTCCATGGGCTCCACTGGGTCTCCGCACACACACTCCCAGTAACCCTTGTTCCATCTCTTCCCATCAGACGCCGGAGCCCGAGGCGGAGCCACCCCAAGCCCCCGAGCTCAAGCAGGGCCTGTACGAGCTCTCGGCCGGCAACTTTGACCTGCACGTGGCACAAGGTAGGCGGGCGGGTGCACCGGCTCTGCACCTCTGGGCACCCCTGCCCGGGGCCGTCCTCCTGGGGGGCCTGGCTTTTCCTCTTGCTGCTTGAGGGCTGGTGGGCCGCAGCATGGGTGGCACTTGTCAAGAGCTTCTCTCCCCCAACCCCGATGACATCAGTGTTTAATGCTCTTCCTCTCGGAGATGATTTCTCCTTTTGTCTCTGTCCTTAGGGAAGGGCCAGTTCTAATACTAAGCTAAAGCCTCAGGTGTGGAAAGCTCACTGATGGTGAGTGGGTGCACTTACTTGTGTACTGGCGGGACAGTGCGTCCTTGGATAGGAGTGTGTTTGTTTATGTTAATGTTAATCATATGCTTATTGACCTGACGCAGAAACAAAGGTTTCTCTTACCTGTTTAAACCAGAATTTATTGGGACCATTATAACACACGAATCGAATCAGCGTAGGTGCTCTTTACACTTAAAATATTTTTCGATACCATATCTCATTTTTTGAAAATAGTCTCCTAAATGTCAGAATGACCTGAGTACGATTTCTCATGTTAATAATGTGTAAGGCCTTTCTTCACACGTTCGGAAGTGTTGGCTCAGCAGTGAAAGGCTTGAAAGTGCATTCAGCCTCCTTGCTGACCTGCCCTCTCAGATGCTGTCATGGAGAGAAATCCTCCTGGGAGACGGGGTTGGAAACGCTCTTAAGAGGGCTTAAAATTGTGTCCGGCCCTGAAGCTTCCTGCTTGCTGGTAGTTGAAATACACCCCATTTAAGGTCTGACATCGCTTGTGGCGATGCTTTCAGCCGTTTTTAATTAAAGGTGGCTAGTTAATTGGTACAGATGCTCTGACAGGGTTTCTATCCTAAGGGGAGTCGCTTTAATTTGAGACGGGCTTGGGATCCCTGCAGCATGCGCTCCCGGGGCCACCCCGTGACAGACCACCGTCCGAAGCCCAGCCCTGACCGCCCCCCGAGCAGGTCGCCCACCGAGGGGCCGTGTGCCCACACGCCGTGGCCTCGTGCTGCTGCCATGAGGGTCTCGGAGAGCGGTGCGGCCCCACCCTGACTCAGCTGCTGGGCCTCCTGTCTCCACCTCACAGCACAAAGTAGTGACACACCTGTCTGGAGACGTGGTTTCAGCCTTGCAGATCAGCTGCTCATGTATATTTAAAATGTTTTTATTTAAATTTCTTAACTGGAGTATAGTGGATTTACAGTATTGATTTTGAAGCAAGTTTTTTTCCCCATTTCCCTCGAACGCATCATTGCCGCGGTGACAAGATGCCGCCGTGAGCGTTGCCATGGCAAAGTCCGACTCTGAGCCTGAGTCACACGTCAGCGTCCGTTGGTTGGTTCTCTCCTTGGCCACAGCCTAATTTCGGTTTGGCCTCAGCCTGACACTGTTTTGGCCCTAGGCTGGTCAAGGTAGGAGAGCCTAGATAAGAGTTTTCAGTGCCTAAATCATGATGTTGTGAGGCTTGCTTTTTTCCTAGCCAAGCGGAGTGATATTCAGTCTTTTTAGATCTTCTATCTTATTGTGAAATAAAACCCAGATACAGAAAACAATGTAGGGTGTAGTGAATGGTCATAGAGCCGTCACCCGGCTCAAGACAGAAACCTGCTCGCTTCCCGTGCCCCGCCAGGGAAACCGCCACTTGCATCATGGTGTGGAGTACGGTCGCCCTGTCCACGTCACCCTGATGTCTCTGTTCCCTGTGAGTTGGCCGTTGAATCTAGGGACTTTATCACTTTCTGTTTGATGTTTTGGGGGGGTGTGAGCAACACTGCGTAGCTGGGAAGTCTCTCTGTGACGTCAGTGGCCTCGTCCGTCACCGCCTAGAGCCGTAACGCACGAGGGATGCAAAGCCTGCTGCTGTAATTCAAGCATCCCTTCTTCATTTTTACAGCAGGAGACACTTGCCCTCGTTTATCACTTGGTTATCCAGCGGTGCAGTTCACGTGGGAAAGACAGGCTAAGTGCCTGATTCCTTCCCTTTATCGCCCGTTTTCCGAATAATGAGTTGGGTCCCTGTTGTCCTGCAAAGATGACAGATTGGTTTTTAAGGATCGTTATGAACTCATGGGTAGAGACATATGTGATGGGGAGTCACTTTTTACCAGTTCAAGGGTTCGTGCTGAACTGAGCTTTGCAGGAGGACAAAGATGAGACGCTTCCACTCACGCTCTAGTTGGGTGGGTGTAACTCTCTCTCACTCCCTCTCCCCTCCCCCGCCCCCCCGCAGGAGACCACTTTATCAAGTTCTTCGCTCCGTGGTGTGGTCACTGCAAAGCTCTAGCTCCGACCTGGGAGCAGCTGGCTCTGGGCCTTGAACATTCCGAAACTGTCAAGATTGGCAAGGTAAGTGAAAGCCCTTATTAAACCGGAAATAGACCGCCTTTGGCTGGATTAATTAGCTGAGTAGCCCATTATTCATTCTGTGCACAAAGTCGCAAACTTGATTTATTAATTCCATTTAGCGTGCCACTTGATAATTCATTTCACCTTCACAGATGGCAGCCGGGTTTCGAGTGTGCTGGCTTTTCCACAGTCTAGAGATAAATTATGGCTTTGGCTCCTTTGTTTATTTTGAAGCAATGGCCAATTCTGAATTGGCAGCCCCAAAGCCCTTTCTGCAAAGATATGGGGCAGAGCCTTAGAGAACGTTCACTGGACGTACTTGGGGACCATCCACAGTCGAAATCACCCAAGAGCTCTTTCCTAAAAGGACCTTCGGCTCTGTGCTCACACCCTGTGTGCAGCCTGCGTGCAGAAGACCCGCCCGTGGGGAGCCCTGGCTTGCCCTGCTGCCAGGAATTCTTTCCCACTTTACGTAGGGAAGCCAGAAGTGATGCATTGACAACTGGGTTTTCGGGAAATATCTAGAGCAGCTTCTGGGCCTTCAAGCACTTTTAATCTGTCCATCCTCCAGCACCTACCAGACACCCTGCCTGAATTGCTTTTATAAAAATCTCATTTTCTACCCTGCCGGGGGCTGATTTATATACAGGAGTAATGCTGCATGTTCAGGAACTGTACCTAATAAGGTGATGTGCCCAGCACAGTGAGATGGCCAAAAGCATAAACGTGGGATTTGGACAGACCTGGCCGGCCACCCTCAAGCAGCTTCTCCACACCTCAGTCTCCCCCTTCGCAAAACGAAGACGTGATCTGACTGGGGCGGTGGTGAGGGTGACGGTAAAATGCTGAGCACGACGCTAGGCACAGAGCAGATGCCTAGGAAATTGTAATGATTGTGAAATGAAGTTTTCACTGTTGTGTGTTAAACACTTAACCTGACATCTTTTCAGTTTTATCTTTATTATATTCCAAATACTCCTATTTTAAATTCCTGAACCTGAGAATACATTTCTGAGCTAGCTTTGTGACTGGCGTGGGTCTCTGTCCATGACAGCTGGCCGTCCCCTTCTCCAGATGTCAGGCTAGGCTCCCTCTCTCCATCTGCTGACCTGCTCAGGGTAAACTACTGCTCCCCCAAAACTGGCATTTTTGAGTGAAAAGAAATCATGTCTCTAAATCCCATCACTCTGCTCCCTAAGCTCAGGTGTATTTGGGGGTAAAGTCTCTCCAAAAGCTCTAACTTGCTGGCAGAGATGCTACAGATGGGGAGTTTTAGAAATTTTCTTTCTTTGAAAAAGTACTGAGTGTCCAAGAGCCCATTTACCAGGAAGGCTCGCGGAGAAACTGACTGGGCGCGTGATCTGTATTTCTAGGTTGATTGCACACAGCACCATGAACTCTGTTCAGGAAACCAGGTCCGAGGTTATCCTGCTCTCCTCTGGTTCCGAGACGGTAAAAAGGTACGTCTTCAGGTCTTAGTGTTGAGACAAGATGTGTGTCTTAACCACCGCTGAACGGTCGAGTGGTTTAACAGGGGTGGCGCGTTGCCAGCACAGATTGTTTGGGCACTGGTTTAAAGGAATACGCATCACGGAGCGAGAATGTCTTTCTCTTTGTTGGTAAGGCCTGGCGGGTTGAGAGAAACCATCAGGCGTTATGCACTTCCGAAGCATCTCAGCTGACTCAGGTTAACTCTAGAATAAGCCGGATCGACAGTCCTAGGGTAACTGCTCTGATTACGACCTTCGAGAGGGGTCAGCGCTCGCTCTTGGTAAGGCTCTTAAATGCCGGCTTCGTCCCTGGCCGGTGGGCAGCGCCCAGACTTGGGAAACGCTCAGCTCTGCAGAAGGAAGGCGCTGTAAAGTTCTTTGCCCAGAGCCGAACTGCAGATGATCATCTATGCTTTGCCTTCACCTTTGAGCAGCAGACACCACAGAGCTGGGACACCCAGACAGAGACGTCCGATGGGGGCGGGTCGTGTGTGGGCAGGTGGAGGGCTGAGGATTCACAGCCCTGACGTGTCTCCGTGTGGCCCGTGTCCCGGACAGGTTGATCAGTACAAGGGGAAGCGGGATCTGGAGTCGCTGAGGGAGTACGTGGCATCGCAGCTCCAGAGCACGGAGAGGGGCGCCCCGGAGCCCGCCCAGCCCTCGGAGGCCCCCGCGCTGGCCGCTGAGACCGCGGCCGACCAGGTGGGTGCACGGTCAGCTCCCGCCTCTGAGCGACAGCGCAGGCACAGCACACGGTCGGTCATTCACATGGGGGGCTGGGGTCCCCTTTTCAACACAGCGTTTTCTTGAACTCCTTTCACATGCTTGTTAGGGGGTCAGTGCAGACAGAGCTTCCCTTTAAAGAACCTGGAGTAGGCGTGAGACAAAGGATCCTGCGAGCATTGGGTGTCAACATTTCTGGACAGTTCTTCCCTTTGATTCAGCACTCACTAACTTGAAGGCATTTGCTGTAAAAGCTGGGCTGTTGCCTCTTGGGCCCGTTCTGCTCGTTTCCATAACTTGCTGCAGTCAAGGTGGTAAAGGCCCCTGAAAGAGCTGCAGCAGAAAGGCTCTGCGCGTTGGAACGTCAGAGGCAGATCACTGTAGGCTATTTCATTTGTCCAGACAATCGCTGACTTATCGAGGTGTCCTCTTCATATATTCAGAGCGTAAGGTTTCACGTTCGTTCGTTTTGCGTTTATCAAGACCTGTCGCGTTCCAGCCACTGTCCTAGGCCGCCAGGGCACAAAGCGAATGAGGTTGTTTTCCGCCTGTGGAGAGTGGCGGGTGGGAAGCGGGAGACACGTGAAGATGTCGGCACTGCGACGCAGGCCGGGGCGGGGAGGCAGGGAGCGCCACCCCACGGGTGAGTCGGTGTTGGCCGGAGAGCCGTGGGGAAGGCCGCCTGGCGGCGCGTCAGCCGGCAGGAGTGAAGAGGGCACGAGGAGGCCAAGGGCACCGTGCGGGATGCAGAGGGAGCCGGCGGCTGGCCCCCGGAGGGCCTTGTCCGCCAGCCGTGGATCTCAGGTCTGCAGGGAGCCAGTGGAGGGCTTGGAGCCGACGTGGACTTTAAGAAAGCCGGCTGGCTGCAGCCTGTGTGGACGAGACAGAAACCGCTGTATCTGGAGACGAAGGACGCGGGGACGGCGGGCAGGGGCTTCCAGCTCCCCCTGTGCAGTCGGGATGGGGGAGGGGAGGGAGGGAGAGACAGGCTGGCGGCGATGGGTCCCTTTGCAAGGTGTTGCTTCCAGGGCTGTGGCGGTCTGCACATGGCGACAGGTAAGAGTCCGGAGCTGAAGCCGGATGCCTGTCTAGACGAGGAGGTTCCAGCATCCGCTCCTGTAGGTAGAAACCGACGCCGAAGCCGTGGGTGAAGATGAGATGATTCGGGGGAGACAGAATAGCGTTTTCCCAGGAAAGCCGTGCTCGGATTTCCCAGCCGAGAACCGTACATAAGGCCTGTTTGTCTGTCAGTGTATTTCCAAAGCCGAATCCTTGTGTTGCCGCCACAGCACGCCAGGTTCTTACCCGGGACGGTGGGCAGGGCGGCCCTGGTCCTGTGGAGGACGCCTCCCTGGTGACTGTCCAGCCTCAGCATTTACAGGAGCGATCGTGACTCGCTGGGGCCGTCACGCCCGGGGCCCGGGGATCAGGCTTGGAGAGGCGGCAGCCGCGGGCCCCATCCTCCCAGGGTGGGGCTGTGATGGTGCCTCCGCCCCCCAGGCCCGGCCCAGCCCCTAGTGGGACGCTTGTAGGTTGGGGACTGCGTGGGTGTTAGTTAAAAGTGGAAGTTTTGGTTTAAGAAGTAAACAAACGATTTCGTAGTTAAGGGACCACGCGTCAAGGGAGCGTGTGTCATGGTGGTTATAAAGGTCACCCCACATCGAGTATAATTATATACTGTGGATGTTTTTGTCAAACCCAGAAGGGTTTCTATTTATAATAAGGTTTTCCACCACTAAGTGGGTCTTTCAGTGAGTATGGTGTCATGTTTCTGGACATAAAGATGGCAGCGTCTGGATGGCTCCCTCAGTGCCCCTGTGTCCTGGTCACAGACACGTGGTACTTGGTGCTGGACTCGAGTGGGGCAGCCCTGGTACACTTTGCCACGTGATACATCATCCATATTCTTTTTATTTATTTATTTATTTGGCTGCATCGGGTCTTCGTTGAGGCACGCAGGATCTTCGGTTACGGCGTGCAGGCTCAGTAGTTGTGTCGCGTGGGCTCTGGAGCACGTGGGCTTAGTTGCCCCGCAGCGTGTGGGATCTTAGTTCCCCGCCCAGGGCTCGAACCCATGTTCCCCTGAAGTGGAAGGCGGATTCTTAACCACTGGACCACCAGGAAAGTCCCCATCATCCATATTCTCACGAGAGGATCACAGATCCAGTTTTGGAGGAAAACACATAGACATAATTTTGTGAAGAGCCTTCAAGATAGAACCGCTTTAGAGCAGACTGCCGTGTGGCACCTTTGCCCTGAATTCTCCAGCCTGAGTTCAAATGAGCAGTTTTCACATTTACTTTGAATTTAAAAATGGAAAGCAGCCTGTTATCTGTAAAAGCACATATTGCCTATGCTTGTGTAACTGAGGTCCTTCTATCACATAGAGAAGATAATTATGAATCTGTAGGATGAGAACGATAGAGTCGGTGGGGAAAGCAGTGTGTACAGACTTCAGGGAGGCCGGTCAGCTTGGACTTCGGTCAGTGTCCGAGGCTCCAAGCCCGGGAGGCGCATGCTTGGGCCCTGCCCACCCAGAGCCCTGGAGACAGCGGCTGCACCTGAACCTGCCTAGGCTGGCTGGGGGCAGGACGCTGGACGTGTCCTGTCCCCTCCACGCAGCATCTCCTGGGCTCAGGACCGTGGGACCGGTGATGATGAGTCACTGCCCTTTTGTGGAGCTTGTGAAAAGTGAGTTGTGTAGGTATCTGTGTGTGGTCTCGGAGCACACATCACAGCATTTTAAAAGATGATGGACTTGTATTTCTGCGATCCCAAAGCATGATCCCCGCTCTGCTCTATGTGGTGTATTTGAACTGTGGCTTTTCCCTCCCCCAAGGGCACCGTGTTGGCACTGACGGAAAATAACTTCGATGACACCATCGCAGAAGGCATAACCTTCGTCAAGTTTTATGCCCCATGGTAAGTGGCTGTTGAATTAGAAACTTTGTCCTCGTGCACTTGAGTCACATCCTATTTTTCAGCTCATAGGCCAACCCTCCGGACTCGGTGTTGGGCAGATACTCCATTTACTTGTAGTTATGCTATAGGGAAAAAGGAAATGTTGTCATTATATATGTTAAAGTTTGGTGGTAATTCATAAAGTTATGGAGAATGAGGTTAACTTAAAGCTCAGTCTGCTCTGGAAAAAACAAAACTGGAGACTTATTATCGTGGCCATACAACACTGAAGTTTTGTGGTATCTGGGCACTTTGCCAAATAGATGGCTTTTGGGGTTAAAAACACCGTGAACATCCTGAGGTATTAATAGCTCTGCCCCTTAGTCTCTCTGGATGTTGTAGAGAAATCGAGTAGAGCTCGGCTTTCCGTTAGAGCCATGCAGTCTGTCAGTCACCTGACCTTCCTGGCCCGTCGGGGACCAGAGCAGAGATGGGCTGCTTGGAGCCCGAGACCACGGCAACCGCAGTCGGTGGGAAGACGATAGGTTCCAGGATGTGCCGTGAACCACTGCGGCTTTGGATGCCCTTTAAATCCTTTGAACCCACTTTCCTCAGCTGTAAAACGGGGAGAACGCTTTGTCTTGAAACAACCCGTTTGGAAAAAGCGTTGAGGAGAGAGAGAGCCTGTTTCTGAACACAAACACACATGTGCCATTTTCGCTTCTCACTTTGTTTCACTGCGCGTATTCATGAGAAACAGTAACAGCAGAGAGAAAAAAGTTAACGAGTGACCTGTACGACTTGCGCAGGTTTTACTCTTAAAGAGTAAAATCACTAGTAAATAATGCCTTTAAAACTATCACGCATTTTCTAGTTTTTTTTTTAAAAAAAACCTAAAGCTGTACAGATCACGTACAAGGACAGAAGAGCCCCTTTCATCGAAGGGGAGCAGGTCACAGAGGGGAAGATGGTCAGGAAGCGGGTATAGTAACAGGTGGAAGGAGAGTTTGAACCAAACTTAGTGGCCTCAGTGCTCACACCACAGCCTGGAAGCTTCAGGGAAGCTTGGAAGTTCTTCTGAACATTTAAGACCGTAAGAAATATAATCTGTTTTTGGCATTCAGGTGATTTTTTTAAAAGCCCCCAGTTTACCGCATCGTAGAGATGGTTGCAAAGCTGAAGCTGTTTTCAGACCATCTTGTTGCTCAGTCAGGTTGTCTGAAAGTCTGCCCTGGCTTGGGTTTGAATTCCGTGTTTGGGATGGGAGAGGACAAGCAGGTGCAGTGGGGGGTTTGGGGGGATGATAGCGCACCCCGCAGGAGAACCTGCCGGTTTATCAACTTCTAGGCAGCTGTTGGCTGCTTCCTACAGAAGAAACAGGCTGGGCAGTGAAGTGCAGGCGAGTGAGCTTGACGGGACCTCAACAAAGCTGTCGCTGTTCTGTCCCCAGGTGTGGGCATTGTAAGAACCTGGCTCCTACCTGGGAGGAACTCTCTAAAAAGGAATTCCCTGGCTTGGCGGAGGTCAAGATCGCCGAGTTGGACTGCACTGCAGAACGGAACATCTGCAGCAAGTACTCGGTAGGTCCACATGGATGGAAACTCATGGGGACAGAATTGGGGGCGGATCCCAAGTGGAGCTGTAATTTGGTATTGTGGACTCAACCAAGATAACTCATCCTCTCGACGAAGAGTTTTTTGTGTCCTTTGGGGATTTTTTTTTCCCATTTGAGAAGCAAAAGAGCTGCTCTCTCAAAGGAAAGGCTGTCTTCTGTGTCTTCTTTGAGTGCACACAGTTCAGAGGGGGTTTTCAGGCCTTGCCACCTGGGCAAAAGGCTGGCAGTACCTGAGACTCTGAGCTTGAGGGCAGGGCGCCACCTGCGTGGCCACTCTCATTGGCTAAACGGTCAGCTGGCTTGTAGCCTTCGTCGCACACACAGACACAAGGCGGCGCTCAGTGCAGAAAGTATTTGATCCTACACTTCCCCTGAGAGGGCCACACCAGTGGGCCAGGCTTGGCTTCTTTATGTAACTGTTGCCTTCTTTCCAAGCTGTTAGCACCATCGAATAGCCCAGAAGATTTGCAATTTATATTTTTCCGTTTGTGGTGTTTGTTTTTCTTAAAACATTTTTGAGGCCTCTGGAGTTTATTAGAATAGATGTATGTAGCACAGACGTCGTCTACTTACTAGAAGATGCTAGTCATTTAAAAAAATTTTTTTTTTTTTTTGGTGCTTTAAAGAGAAAGGGGAGCTGTGCTGACAAGTGTGCATCCTTGAGGCTCCTGCTGCTACTCAGCGTGGACCACAGAGCACCCTGGTGTCGCCAGGGAGCTTGTTGGAAATGCAGCCTCAGGCCCCCTCCATCCACACCAGCTCCCCAGGCAAGACTCCACTCTAGGGTGAAGTCACTCCTTGTTGCTAATCTTGAAAGTAGGTTTGGGTTGGAAAGTGAATAAAGAGCCCCAAGGCTCTGCTTTCTGAACTCTTAGGTACTTTTTTGATGGTCTGTACGTTCTGAAAATTTAACTATAGACTTCCCTGGGCACGACTCCAGGATCTTTTCTGATTTTATTTAAGAAGCAACTTTGTGTTTGTTTTTATTTTTTTTTTTTTTTTTTTTTTAAGGTACGAGGTTATCCCACATTGCTGCTTTTCCGCGGAGGCAAAAAAGTCAGCGAGCATAGCGGGGGTCGAGACCTGGATTCCTTGCACCACTTTGTCCTGCGCCAGGCGAAGGATGAACTGTGAGCTCGGCTGGAAGCTGTCTCCTGCCTGGCCCTGGGCAGGAGCTCAGTCCTGCGGCTGCTGCCTGGTCCCTTGCGGTGGTGACTCAGAGATCCGAACGCACTAAACTTGTGCTATCTTCTCCATGTGTGTGTTCTTTAAGCCAACACACTCCACAAATTCTTTCTTAGGTTTCTCTAAGTAAATGTGTAACTCATGATCCCTTTGCAAACTAAATATTTTCAGTGGCAAGCTACCATCCATCCCCTTTAACCTTCTCTTGGTGAAATCTAAATGGTTTCCTTTGAGACTAAAAGAGTCAAGGAAATTCCAATTGCCAGACTGTTTTTGGCTTTGGAGTAGGAATTTTGGTGAAAGCATCATCCGATGCATAGTTTTCGAACCATCCGCGCACAAGTTCTGGAAAGGTGGCCTTGCCTTGTGGCGGTATCGCGTTGCTCCGATCTGAAGGTCCCAGTTGACTTGTCAATAACGTGGTTGGTCCGTAGCTTGGAGCAGATTTAAAACACAAAACCCCGTCGCCTCTGGAAGAGCCACTTTCCCAGCCCCTCCTGGATCTTCCGTCTCTGTTGATATCTCTCTCTCTCTCTCACGGAGAGTGGTGAGCCCTAATGAAAACAGTGGTACTCCTGACGCGTGCCTGAGTAAGATCATGCTGATGCCATAGGCTTGTGTGTGTGTGTGTTGATACTGGACCAATCGCTTAGTACTGTTCAACGGATACTTCTGTCCCTCCTGAGTGAGAGATTTCATTAGTTAACATGAAGCCAGAGTCCACGTGAACTTTAAGGCTCAGTGTCTCACGTGGAAAGTTCCACAAGGCTCGTCCCGACTATTCTGTTAACTCCTGGGAAGATTCTGCTCGGCTTGGCCACCTGGGGCAGGAGCTTTCCCCGGTCTGCCTATCGGGGACCGAGGAAGCCCTGCAGCCCCACGATGAAGCCCCAACCAGAAGCAGCTTTGGACTCCGCAGTCCTTTCCGAGGCCGCGTCCTGTACTTTGCCTGCCTGCGAGGAGCTCAGTCTTCTACTGTAAGAAGAGTGGGATTAACTTGACCTCAAGGTCAAAGGAGGGAGGGAGGCAGGGCCGAAGTAGGCCACGTTACCGGTGGCCTCATAACCCACGCCGTCCTGGTTGATAAGGAGCATGTTTATCCTCACCCTTGGAAGTCCGCAGCTGTAGGACGAGGCTCCCTCAAGGCATATGTGCCTGTAGGTCCTTTGCCATCAGGTGCTCCTCGTGATAACACTCGTCACCCCACCGCCCACGCTCAGGAGATGTGGCCACTTGGCACAAAGTACCTGGTGGTCAGGACCTTAAGAAACAAGACCCCGTCCGCTTGTCCACAGCAGACAACAACAGGATCCCGGCCAGCCTCTGCCTTAAAGGAAATCTTTATTAATCATGTATGGTTCACAGATGTTCTTTAAAAAAGACCCCAACTTTCTAGAGAAGCACAATCCTCATGAGTGGATTCATCTTTGCATCATGAGTCTTGTTTTAAAAAGAAAAAGTGGTACAATTTGTTTACACTATGATACTTTCTAAATAAACTCTTTAAAAAAAAAAAAGTCTGGTCTTAAATGTTACAGCAAAACATAAAATAGACAATAAATTATAGTTTATATTTACAAAAAAGCTGTAAGTGCAGTTATAGATCATAAATGTATTATTTAATCAGTTTAGTATGAAATTGGTTTCCGAGTACATGATCGTGAAAAAGACATTTAAAAAATATTCTCAGATTTAATCTGAGTTTTACTTTCTACAGGAGAAAACCGTGATTTCAGTTCCTAAACCGCATACCCATTCCTAATCTCTTCCTAAGGCTGGGTGCCCTTCCTCAGCTCATCGCCTGTGCTGGTCTAACCCCGAGATGCGGGACGCTGTCCAGTAAGGGGCAAGGAACCGTTTTACCGACACAGATGAGGGCTGACGTTCCTGACGTAAACGTGCTTTTTCAAAGAGCCGTCCCTCGAGGGAAGAGGGAAGAGGTGCGGGCGTGTAGCTCGGTTAAAATGATGGCTTTAAAAAGATTTCTCATCCCCGGAGCCTCGCCGCAAAGTGGGATCACTTTAGTCTCTGTTTTACGGGGGGGGGGGGGGGGGGGGTGGGGGGTGGAAATGATGTGGTTGAACTGAAATAAGGATATTTTCACACGGACAAAACGCCCGCACAAACATGTAACAGCACGACTGAGACAAAAGGCACTTGCGGGCTGCCCGGCTCCCTCCCGGGCTGTTGATCCCACGTGAGAAACCGACCTCCCTGGGATGAGAGCTCAACAGAGACGTTCTTTCCCCATTCCCATGATCTGCAAAATCTACCTGTGAGCAGCTACTGAGCCCGCTGCTATCTGAGCCAAGAAGAATTTTACTTTAAGATTATCTTCCCTATTTACTTACTAAAACCACGAAGAGCTTGATCTAAAGCAAAATAATTTGGGTGGGTTTGGGGGGGGCATAGGGGATCCTTCAAAGTTAGGTTTCTTCAGTCACCGGACTTCATGCTACAGACACTCAAACTCAGCTTCCTAGAGACCGACAACTACTCACGACATTTACTACGTGAGCACGTTACGGACGAGGTCCTTTAAGATGTCTGTTAGGGCGGAAAGGCAGCAGCCAGCGCGAGATGGCGTCGGCGTCTTATCCCGCTTTCTCGGTGCTTCCGGGTGCCTTTTAAGGCAGATGTGATGCAGGAGTCCAAGGCAGTGCATGTGTCCCCAGCAGCTCGTCCTGAGTCAGTGGCACCCACAAGCTCTGACGACCATGTTCCTGTATTTTTTCAGGATGACGTTGGAGTTGTCGTCAAAGTAAAGCACGGAGATGGCATTCAGTTTCGTTGGCGCACAGCACGGTTTGGGGACGTACTCGGGATTCATAAGGTGAACCTGTTTCAAACACAGAAGGAGGGGAGGTGTCGTTAGGAACAATACCTGGCCCGGGCCTACTCCCCAGTCACGTGGAGATGCCGGCGCTCACCAGGGTCTGCACGATGGCATGGTTGGTGGCGTTCATGTGCGCGTTGAGAGGGAAGGAGCATTCTCCGTCACAGTAGTTGGCAGCGTAACCCTTGGGTGCAATGATCCAGTCCTGCAACAGAGTGATGTACACACACACCTCGTATCACCTCAGGAACCCTGCGAGAAGCTATCACTCACATGGGGCAGCTAAGGAGACAGACACAGCAGGTCGAGGTCACACTCGAGGGGCAGCGTGAGGCTGTGAACCCGGTCAGTCCGACTCTGGAGCCCTCGCTCCTTCCACAGGCCCGCAAGGCCCTGACCTGCTCCTGGCCCGCCTAGGCCTGGAGGGCTGCAGGTGGCTGGCTCCGTGAACTTGGACCAAAGGAGCCTCTCCAGGAGCCCGGGTACTCCCTGTCACCGCAATGCCACTGCACATGGGAACGATCTTCCATCACTGGACGCCTAGAATTTGCATCTTCTCTTATTAACTAGCAGTGGCCCTCGGGAGGGAGGCAGAGCATCGGTGCGCTTCTAGTCTGGGCGAACCGGCATGTGGCCCTTGGAGAAGTTAACTGTTAGATGCTCTTCCAGCCCTTTCTCAAAGCACAGTGAACACTTGTTTACATGCCCAAAGCAATACAGGCCCTGTGGACCCTGAGAGAATGAGAGAAGAGCACTGGGAAACGGGCTACTGATTTGGAGGGACAGGGCGCCTGTGCACCTGGAAAGGAGCTGGGGGGCTTCATGCACGAGTGGGCAGGCCTTTGGCCACCCCACTCCAAGACCTGGGCATCTGGAAGGGCTCCTAAGTACCTTCACAGGAGGAAACTTCTCAGCCCTCAAGTTCAAGGTCTTTGAGGATGGCTGCTGCCTCTAAGATGAGAAGAGACTACCGAGAGAGGGCCCTCGTCCCCCTTGCTGTCCAGAGCACTCACCTGCCAGCCCAGGTCCTGGAAGCTCACGTACAGCTCGTGCTTCCTGCAGGCTGTTTTCAGTTCACTGCTGTTGTAATCTGTTGGAGATCAGAAGATGCAACAGTTAACCCATTCATTCTTCGCTTACAAACTTACCTGGACAGTTAACCACGGGCCAGCCGTGCACAAGGCCCCCGCTAGACACAGCTGGGGCGCCCACAGCTCTGCAGCCTCCTCCCAGCTGCTCGGGTGTTTGACTTACTCCGCCTCGTCCACTCTGGGGTCACTGCCGGGCACACTGGCACACAACACGTCATTACTGACCTGAACGGACTCCTTTCAAGAAACGTGTTTGTCGGGATCCCCTGTTGGACCAAGATGCCCCAAACACCCCGGGGCCCTGACTTGGGGGACGTCGTATTCACAGGCAAGACACACCAGGCAGGTTCCGCTCGCTTTCTAAAACCGGGACTGTCCTGAAGCCGCGCACGGGCCGGGAGGACAGCTGCTGGGCCAGGAGAGCCTCCCGAAGGGGGCGCCCTGGAGCCAGGCCTGCCCGGGAGGCCGGAGGTGGGGACGGGGCGGGGCTGAAGTGCGCGCACCTGCTCTGTGTGTCAGGACCTGCTAGCCTGGCTTCATTAACCGGCCGCTGGCAGGAGGACAAGGGTGCCCTGACTCATCTAGGCCAGACGGAGCGGCTTCTGTGTGACGTGCCCTCTTGCGAGGTGCCACGGGAAACACGAGGATTCGTTAGGCAAGGCTTCTGGCCTCCAGAGACTCAGGGAACGGACGGGGTGCCGTGAGACGTGCAGAGCTCACGCCAGTACAAAACAGAATCTGAACGCCATGCGCAGGGGCTGGAGAGAAACCCCACCGGGAGTTCAGAGAAGGGACAGTTAAAGAGGGAGAGAGAGAGGAAGAGAGAGCAGTTCTGGTGGAATGAAGTTAAGGACACGTGAAGAGCTACCCAAACCATGGAATTTCCTGTGTGATAATCCAGCTCCTAGTGGGGCCCCGGAGAGCTCAGGATGGGGCTGCTCACCAGAAAGACCACCACGTGATCAGAGGTTGGGACGCGGGCCAGCCTGACCTCCAGGGAAGGGGGGAGGACTGGAGATGGAGTTCAAGTCGTGAGGCCCACGTGACAACTCTGGACACGGGGCTCGGGGGAGCCTGGGGTTGTGGGGTGAGCATGTCTGTGCGCGGGGAGAGCGGCCCGCCGGGTCCTCCGGGGAGAGGGCCGCCCCTCCTCTGTGTCCTTTCTAATCCAGCTGGAGTCTCAAGTGGGGCACTTTCCTGCGTCCTGTGAGTTGCTCCAGTGAATCAGCAGACCCGGGAGGGGGCGTTGCGGGAACCCCTGAATCTCACCGAGTGGGACAGAACCGCAGGTGGCATCCGCAGGGGGCCAAGCCGTTGACCTGGTGGCATCTGTGCTCCCCCCAGGCCGTCAGGATCAGGACGGAACTGGGCTGTAGGGCCCCCAGTGGGCGTCGGGACGCAGGCAGGGACAGTGCCGCTTCTGCCGGACGGAACCGAGGGGACGTGGGGAAGGGCCTCGGCCAACAGTGCGCTCTGGCCGACCCCCGCCATCTCCGCAGTCTGGCCCTCGCTTCCCTTGGGCAGAAGAGATTCTCAGGAGAGCGGGGCCGGGATGAGAAGGGCAGGGGCCCCATCACGCCGCAGGCGGGGCCGGGCAGCCACCAGGGAGGCGGCTGCACCTGAATCCCTGCGGCCCCAGCTCGGCCCAAGTCCCAGGGGTCCAGGCAGCCGGCCTGCTGTCCTTTCCAGCCCCAAGAGAGCAGGAGAGAGGAACAAAGGGGAGACTGGAGAGGGGAAGAAGCAGGAAAGAGACAGAGTCAGGGCGGCCTAAGAAACCAGGGGGCACGGGAGGAGCGTGAAGGCTTCTGCAGACGGGGGCTGACCGCCTCCCCTGCCCCAGGCCACACCAGCTGCAGGCCCCATGCTCGGCCAGGAAAACACCAGAACAGCAGGAGCACAGAGCATGCTGTCCGCACAGCCCGGCTTTTCTGAGCTCAGGCTGCAGAGTCTTCCCAGAGGAAGCTTGTTTTTTAGAGGGAACAATTCGCTGCTCTCATTTCCCTTCCCTCCTAGAATGACAAGGGCAAGGGCAAAGGGCAGCTGTTAAAATGGCACCCCTGTCTGCACTGGGCTGGCCGCTCCTCCCCCGTCTCCAGCCTGATCCGCCCAGCTTATCCCAAAGGAATCTCCGGCTCCCACGTACCCCACAGAATCAACGGGGCCTTAAGAACCTGCTGGAGGAAGCCCAGCTCCTGTGCCACTGACACTGTGGGACCCCGGGACCACACTGGGATTTTGATTTCTGGTGTCAATAATCTCGTAAAGTGTTGGGCGGGGGGCAGGAGTGGGGGGACAGCTTGCTTTTCAGAGGCTCAATTTTGTTTACAACCGGACGGTTAGCATGAAAGGCAACAGTGAAGTCCTGTTCTTTTGTGGCTGCAGGATTTCAAGGTCTTATAAGCTCCATTTAATCTGAGCGGGGCTTTGATCTCAGCCTTGGTCTTGATTATAAAAGAATATGGAGCTAAGTATCTTGAAAACAGACAGAGGCTCTCCTTAAAGACTGAGCCCTGAGACTCCCTGCTTCACGCACCTCTGTCCCTTCCTAGAGGGACCCTGGCCCCCAGTGCCCTCTCGGGAGTTGGTAGTAGTTGGTGAATTATTCGGGCATCTTGCAGCACCTGTTCACGCCTCTTTATTGTTCAGCATTACCGGCCATTAGCACATTCATTAGGGGTGAACCTAGGGATGGAGTAGAAGGTCAGGTTCTAGTTGGCTTCACTCCTTGATAACTTTTATCCTAAAGGGGCGTAATGGCAGACGAGAGTCAAGTATTATAAATATGGAATTTGGAACAATTCTAACTTTCCAATCACTCATGCCCTGCCTGTCCTCCACAGCTGTGGAGAACTAAGTTCTGATTTCATTTAGAAAGCCCTGGACGAGCCTCTACCTCTTGACTGAGACATCTGGGAGCCAAGCTCCAGGCCCTAAAATTTGAATTTAAGATCAAAATGACACATTAAAATTCGCAACGCCTTTGAAGAACTATACACGGCTAAGTCACAGCCCTGACCCGTGTCCATTCTTCCCAAGCGTTGGGTGTCCATGGTGGATGAGCCCTCTCATCTCTGGCATGTCAACCCATGGAAGCAAGTGCTGAGCTAGAGGGGACACCTGCCAGGAACTAAAAGGCCAAGCAAAGATTGCTCTAGGAGAATGAGACCCCCTAGTCTGTGCACTGAAATTCCCTGAAATTTACAGCAAAACATGTCATAGTCATCATAATAAAGTAGCCACATCACTGCTTTGCAAGTGATGAGTTCTGGTTACCTTCCCTATGCTGGAAGCATACTGAATGGTCCCAACTGGAAAGTTCAAGGGATAGAAGATATGAACCAGCAACGAGAAGGTCAACAGTGTATTTACATGTACCAGAGCCACCTTTTCTCCCAGGACCCTTAAGGATACATGTTTGGGGACTTACCTGGTGGCCCAGAGGTTAAGATGCAGGGGATATGGGTTCAAGCCCTGGTCCGGGAAGATCCCACATGCCACGGAGCAACTAAGCCCGTGCGCCACAACTACTGAGCCTGCTCGCCTAGAGCCCGCGAGCCACAACTACTGAGCCTGCTCGCCTACAGCCCGTGCACTGCAACAAAGAGTAGCCCCTGCTCGCCGCAACTAAAGAAGGCCCGTGGGCAGCAACAGAGACCCAACGCAGCCAAAAATAACAAATAAATAAATAAAATTTTAAGAAAAGGATACATGTTTGGGTGGGTTGGAAAGAGACAGAAGGAGAATTTAAGAGATGCTCACAGGTAGCATTTGAATCGATGAAGAGCTCATTCCAAAGAAGAGAGAGGGTCTTGAGAAGTTGCTGGTTCAGAGACAGTCGGCAGGGCTGAGTGATGGCAACATGAACGTCAAGGGTGAACGAGGCCCAAAGGTCAGCGAATCCAATTTGACATGAATTGTTCAAAGTGGCAGAAAATGTTTCAAAACTATTCATCTGCCAAAACAAAGAGCAATTCTCAGTCACGGTGTTGGCAGCCAGCTGGTGGACATGGCAGAAAACCTCAGACTCACCAGCTGAACTGAAATCACATTCACTACCCCACACCCCCAAAGATGTCTTGGAAAGATCTTGGAAAATGAGCCAGAACAGAATCTAGAATCACCACATGGAACCATCCCTCAAGGCCATTTGTTCACAACCCTTGTAATGGGTCGGTCAGGCGGTGTCAGTCCCCCAGGAGACAAAATCATGGACGCTGAGAGAAAGATACTATGAAAGAGGGTGAATGGCAGCAGATAGAACGAGACCACCCAATGAGAGCTCGGCGAGCCGTGGATGGGGTGCCACAGGAGCGGTGGGCTGGCTGGTAGCCTGGAGGCCAGAAAGAATGGCCAGAGACACTAGAATCCCCAGTGGGCTACACAGCACGGCTTGGACCAGGACTAGTAAAACACGTGTCAAACGATGAACAATATGGTCCAGACGATATCCAAGCCCACTGGAGAAGTGCGACATGGCCAACCTCCAACATCCACTCGGAGCAGACAGCGACAGAGAAGCCAGGGCAGGTCAAACCCGTCCAGGGAGACTTCGGTCCAAACCCACTGCTCGGTGCATGTGTTTGGGAAGTTCAGCTTGAAGGCCAAGGAGAGGTGTGAGAGCAGGTTTTGGTGGGCAGGGGAAGAGGCGGGCGGGCTCTGGTGGGCGGCTGCTGGTGTTTGTTTCAGTGGAAAAGTATGAATTCCCTGGGAGCGGCCCACTGTGGAAGACGGGGGGCAGCAGAGGCCAAGCCGTCTCTTCCTTCAACCTCCCGAAAGACTTACAAGGGGCAAGTCCCGCCTGGAGTCACACCCGAGACCACAGCTTTTTGTCTCGGCAGCATCTACCTGGTTCACGAAGACCCAGCAACATCTGGCCCCACCGTAGCCTGGAAAGAAAGTGCAAACCGATGGTCCATTCCCCTGGAGAGCAGGCCATCTTTCTGGAAACACATTCTCCAAGAGTAATCCCCTCTGCACCTCCATTCCCATTAATGGCAAGAATAAGGAAGGAGGAAAGGGCCAAACCGATAAAGCACTTCAGTGAGCCTAACCTGGGCCATTTCTTGGACCAGCTTGCGAGAGTCTTTGAAGATAGTGGGAGGGAAGGAGGACCCTCCGTAGTAATACTCTCTTGGGGGTCTGGGCCTTTAAACAGGTGAGGCCAGGCCCATTTGTTAGGAGCCCTTTGCCTCAGTGCTGCTGAAAGGAACAAAGCATGTTTGAAAGTACGGGCCTGTGGGGGTGGGAAGACCAAGAAAAAGCAGATGTACTTGCCTCTTCTTACAAATTAGAGCACCTTTACTATTCATATTTAATTTAAACTCATCAAACTGAAAACAAAATGCCGAAAGGGATTTGGAAGAGAATAATTCAGTGATGCCACGAAAACCCAAATCAGAGATGACATGTTTTCTCGATTAAAAGAGAAATTTATGTGTGTACTGGCGGGGGAGGGGATGTGGAGTAAATCAAGTGAGATTTTCATTTTAAAAAGCAATCGAGGGCTTCCCTGATGGCGCGGTGGTTGAGAGTCCGCCTGCCGATGCAGGGGACACGGGTTTGTGCCCTGGCCCGGGAAGATCCCACGTGCCGCGGAGCG